CCTGACAGAGTACACGGAACATGGTTGACGCTCAGGAATCCTTGTCCTTTGCTTGTTGGGCACCAGTGTGTACCTTCCCTTGCTTCCTTCTGTCCTTTCCTCTCCTGTTTGCAGCTCTGTCTTGTGTGAGTGTAAAAGAGGAAGAAGAGTGGAGGGAGGAGAACGGGGAGCCAGGCCCCTTGTCAGATTCCCCTTCCCAGATCAAGGGGGGCCCAGGTCCTCACATCCAGATGTGGGGTCTGTTTATGCAGTTGAGGCCTCCCTTCCAGGGTGGGATGGATGAAGCAAAGGGGTCAGCCAAGGGAGTAAACTGAGAGAGCATCTTAGGGAGAAGCTGAATACCAAAGCCTGGCCCACCACCCGAAAGACCACCAATCTGGGTGGGCCTAGCTGAGAGGGAGACCATGGATGTGAGCCACCAGGCCAGACGCTAAGAGGAACCTAGAGAGCCCCTCCTCAGGGTAAGTTGTGCCTTGGCTCCTGGGGGTCTCCTGTGCTGATGACAGGGCAGGCAGTTGCTGGGGACTCTGAAGGGTACACAGGGGCAGTTATGGGCACAGCCCCAGCCTCACACTTTAAAGGTGTGATTGGTCCTCCAGGAGCAGGGGAGAAGAGGGCAGAGCAGAGGCCCCTGCACGTTTCTAGATCATGAGTGGTACCCTGGTCAGGAACCATCTATTTCTTTCCCACAGATACCGCCAGAGAACTTAGCAGCTGGATGCATGGGGAAGGGTTTCCCAAGGCCCAGAATTGCTCAGAATCAAGCTACAATTTGCTTCTGGCCCTCTGACAAATCATCCCTGAAGGGTGCCCAGCCGCCAGGGGTACATGCCTCTGGTTATTTTCAACACATCATATCACTGGGGCCAGAGCTCTAAAGGCAAACTGGCAGAAGAGGCAAAGTTGCAAATCAAAATTCCTGCCAGGGAGAACAGTGGAGCCAGCTGATGAGGTCTTCTGCCAGGGACGGCCAACCTTGCCAAGCACGGAGCAGAGTCAGTTCTGAATCCTTCAACAGGAAGCAAAGCTTGCCTTCCTGTTGTCCTCAGTCCAGAAAATTCCAGTTTATGTCCTTCCTGATAGTAATGGGAAGAAATCACATCGAGCCTTAATATATCCTTTGAAGGATTATATTCGTATCTTGGTCTAAGCCAGCGACTCTACCTCCAGACACATAGACACATAGACACACAGACACAGACACAGACACGCACGCACACACTTTGGCCGGTAATCCCTGTCTTCATGAAGGCCAAGGCAGGCCTTCTTCCTGCCCAGGAAAGCAGAAAATGTGGGCTCATTGCCGCCTCTGTGTTCTTAGAAGCATTTTCACATTAGCTGGTTTTTAAGGAATTGCCCTCATCTGAATGTTGGGAGATGTGAGCCCTAGGCCCACTTTGGCCACCAACAAGCTGTTGACACAGCCCCTCTTGGCTTCCGTTTTCTCAGCTGTAAAGAGGACCCTTGTGACAGTAGTGGCTCTAACATCCTCTTTTTTTTAATGTTTACCTGAAAGCCACCTGAGTGCAGAATTGGAGTATTTTACATTCATCCTGGAGGGAGAGAAAAAGAATAACTAGAACAAGTGCTTCTAAAAATTTATGACTTAAACTCCTTGCCTGAGTGGAAAGGCTATTTCTGTCCAGGTACCTCCAGGAGCTAGTTAATATCTCACTGCTGGTAAACTTGGTAGAGGAAATGTTGGCCTCCTGCTTACCCTGGGGTCCCCACAGTCCCATTAGCTTCATCCAGTTACACTGTGACATTTTGGGGCAAATCAAGTAAGTGATCTGCTTGTGTCTTCTTACTGGAGAAGCGTGACCTGCTGGGGTGCGTTTTCCACTGTCACATTTTGCTACACATTTACCCAATCTACCTTCGCAGTTCTCACTGCCCTGTCTTCCTATTGCACGGAAATAGAAAATCACCGCAGCTCATGTACAATTCTTTATTAATCACTTAGGGCGTGGTCTAGAGCGAAATGGAACCCAAGCCCTCATGCTTGTTTAGAATTACCTTCTTTCCAGTTGCCCTGGAGTCAACTCTGACTCATGGTGACCACGTGTGTCAGAGTAGAACTGGGCTCCATAGGGTTTTCAATGGCTGATTTTTCAGAAGTAGATTGCCAGGCCTTTCTTCTGAGGTGCCTCTGGGTGCACTCAAACCTCCAACCTTTTGGTTAGCAGCCAAGTGTGTTAACCATTTGCACCACCCCAGAGGGCCTAGAATTACCTTAGAAAACATCTTATTTGAAAACTGGCATAGTTTCTCATCTAAGGAAGCATGAAGGCTGTGAAGTTGGATGAAACCAGAGAAAGTGAAGTCAGTCAAGGAAAAAGCAAAAAACAAAGGAAAATCTGTAAACCCACTCAGTTAACAAGGAAAGCAGGCACTTGGCCAGTGTCAGTCAGGTGTGGAGGAGGCTGGATAGACAGCTCCCCAACTGTCCCTTTCTGAAATGTGCCCCAACCGCCTCTGCACCTGCCTAGGCTCCAAGCAGAAACTCACACTGCTGCCTGCTGGCTCCTCCTTTCCTGCCACATTTCACCTGCGTACCCGCTGCGACCACACCTTTCACACGCTGTCTGGTAGCACAGCATTCCCCGTCTTCTCTCTGTGCCCCTCTGCTCTGCCCTGTCACATTTCATGTGTCTGTTCCATGCCAAATATGACACAACAGTCAGATTTTTTTTTCCCTTGGCTAGCACAGTAATCTTGGAAAATATGATGACTTGTAATTTTTTTTTTCTTAATTTGGGCCCCTGTGGTCTGAGGCAAGGTCTCTGGGGCAACGGTCTCAGCGAGGGGAGGCGCATGTGAAATTGGTTATAAAAATGCTCAAACCAGCAGAGGAGTGAGACATCCAGGAGCAGGCGTTGGTGGGACTTGGCAGGGAGGAATTAGGCCACAGGGTGTTGGCAGTTACTCTGATCCTAAGGTAAAGGAAGGCTAATTGGCAGAAGTTCGAGGATAACTTCATTAGGTAAACACGCATCTGTCCTCAGGTGATGGCAGAGACAGAGAAGAGAGGAAGAAAAGGGAAGGCATTGGGATGGGGAGCCGGAAGAGGTTGCCCAAGGTGAAAGAGTGGCCCGAGCTGTGTGAGCCAGAAAGAATCCCTCCCATGGAGGCTTGTACGCAAGGCGAGGGGCCCTCCGCGCAGCTTCCTTCCTTTCTTTTCTCTACCAAAGTTTGTGTGTACTCATATAGACAAGACAGAAAAATACTAAGAAGGAAACACACACACAAACCCAGGCACCCGTAAGCCCACAAGTCACAGATCTTCACTCTAAATGGATTGCTTTCCAGTCTTTTGCTCTTTCTGTATATTTTATAACATAGTTGAGCTCATACTGTAGCTGCAACTTGATATCTGGTTATTTTTTCTCCACTTTAACATAATGCAGACAGTTCTGTGATTTTCTAAACCCTGTGGGAGTGGTGGACACACTATGGAGGGTGCACTACTCACAGCGGTCAAGGGCATGCCTCTGGAGCAGACAGCCTGGGCTGGATGCCCAGCCCCCGGCCCCCTGTACTAGCTGGGTGACCTCTCAAAGCCTCAATGATCTCATCTGCCACCTGGGCATAAGATGATCACTACCTCATAGAGCTGCCACGAGGATTAAATAACTCCGTGCTCACTCTGTACCATTCAATCCTTGCAGCGTCCCTAGGAGGGAGATAATAGTAATACCGCCCTGTTACAGATGAGAAGGTTCGGCTAGGTGAGAGCAGGTACCGGTATCCACAGCTAATCATCGGCAGTCTGATTCTGAAGCCTCACCTCTTACCCCGCGGTGCTAGCCTGCTTACCCAGAGGAACCTGGCCAAATCACCCAGCTAGTAAAGAATGAAACCGAAATGCTGTTGAATGCAGAGCCTAAATGTGACGATGCCCCCTGAGAAAGTTCCCCATTGGCCTGAGATTGTCTCCGGGCCCTGGGGCTGCACCAGGCCCTGGTGGGTCGGGGCTGGTGATGGGCGGCCACTTCTGCTGGACTTGACAGTAAGGCCATAGTAGCACATTTTCTGAGAGCAGAAGAGACTCAGTGACACTTTCGAAAAGTCACAAGCCTGATGATGCCCAGAGAGCGTAGAAGTGTCAGCAGTGACATAGATCACAGGCTCAGACCTTCCCCATGTCCATCCGTCTGTAACAATTTTAGTGTGGCGATGGCTGGCTATCCCCTTGCACTTGGCCCCTACTTCCCTTAGCCTGGCAGTAGTAGTAACGCAGCGGCCTGAGACTGGTGCCCTGGCTGGGTTCTCCGGCCACTGCCTGACCACAGTCAATCTTTTGTGAGCAGGAGCTGCCTGGCTCCTGTGCCTCTGGAGCTGGCTCAAGGATGAATGTCATTGATTTGCAGCACTGTTTCCTTCAGCTACAGAGTGACAGAGCATGAAAGAAAAACAAACAGCCGCTGATAGATGGGGGGAAGAATCCATTCCATCTCATCATGTGTGACAGGGTGCGACTGGTCCATGGGAGTGCCACAAATGGTCTGCCAGCTGTGGGACGGAAAGGGGCAGAAGGCTTGCAACCCAGCTTGGCCGCAGCGGGCCCTCTGCCGTGATGTCAGTCCCCCATGCAGAGCAGATTTGATTTCCATTCGAGTTGTACCAGTGACTCTGAAGCGCTTGGTTATTCAGCAGATTAAATCTTAATTGCAAATGCTGTTTCAGGAGTACCATCGTGCTTGCTGGTGTCAGGCCATTTTTGCTTGAGGCGTGCTTTTCCAGAAGGCTGTTACAAATTTAGAAAGAGGGAAATGGCGCTTCGTTCGCTGATTGGGCTTTTGTTTTGCAGCCTGAATTTATTTTAGTGTTTGTTTAAAGGTGCCAAAAACTGACATCCCTGGAGAGAGAGTTGCTCAATTTTTTTGGAGAGGTTTTCTGGATTGTCCAAACTGCATCTAGAAAACAATGTCTGTGGTCCTTATGTCAGAGGATAGGCTTGCCAGCATTCTCACATGCTCTAATTTTGATTCATTTTTCAGAGACCCAAGAAGCCACCTCCTCCATCAGCTCCTGTCATCAAACAAGGGGCAGGTAATGTACCTCTCAGTTCCATCAACACAATGTGCGTCTTTCTCTTTGCATAGACGTGTTCAGATCATCCCTGAGAGAGCGCAAATTCCCAGATGGCCAAATTGGGAAATGATGATTTGATCTAAGCAGACAGATTTTAAATATACTGCTGTTTTTCCTCAAAAATAAAATGTGTCCTTGATACAGTGAAAATTTCTGAGTTCACAAAGAGAGTGGTCAGAAGGACCTTTAAAATAAACTGGGTTTGTTTTGTCTTCTTTTTCTTTTTAATAAACTGCTTTGAGCCAAGGAGAACCTGATTGTCCTGCTTTGCATGTGCCCCACCTAGAGTTGGCTTGGGAACCATTTCTGCCCATGGATCATGGTGTCACAGGGCATGTATAAAAACCCATTGCCATCGAGTCAATTCCGACTCATAATGACCCTATAGGACAGAGTAGAACTGCCCCATAGGGTTTCCGAGTAGCTGGTGGATTCGAACTGCCGACCTTTTGGTTAGCAGCCATAGCTCTTAACCACTGCGCCACCAGGGCATGTATAGAGTTGCTGAATTTTCAGTGTGCCCTGCATGGTTAACAAAAATTTGCACTTACTTCACATTCCAAAAAGATTTTTTTTTCTACCAATAAATACTTTCTCCCATGATTCTCTTATCTTGAAAGGCATCCAATTCACTTCTTCTGCATAGTTCAGATATTAGAGTTGAATAATGTAAGTAGAATTGATGTTGGAAATTTGGGTGTAACTCATTACATACTAGATTCTCACGCATAAAGATGGACTAGAGTTCTCCTTTATAATTATTAAAATCCATTGTGGAGAGAAGTTCCTCTGTGAATAACTAGTTAAGTGGCATTTTTAAAAACTTAGCAACTAAAACAGAAGAAGAGTAAGGTATTTTCAGTTCTGCACATTCACAATTATATTTTTTATATCATGATATTTTATATACCATTTAAATGATTGGAGCCCTGGTGGCGCAGTGTTTAAGAGCTTGGCTGCTAACCAAAAGGTCGGCACTTCAAAGATACCAGGCGCTCCTTGGAAACCCTATAGGGCAGTTCTACTCTGTCGCTTAGGGTCGCTATGGGTTGGAATCGACTCAACGGCAGTGGATTTGGTTTTTTGTTTTTTAAAGTGAATAAATTTTCCAAATTGGTTTGTTTATAGATTTATTAAGGAGTGATTTTTTTTTAAGTTCTTTTGGCCCACTAAGTTGTGGGGGGAATCAGCGTGACCCCAAATTCCTTTCCCATTTCCTTCGGCATACCTGAGAATTACAGAGAATAAACCCTCAAATGGGATGTTAATTATATCTCCTGCCCTGCCCCCACCCTCATTTGCATTGAGTAGTTTAATTTTGCCACCTGGTGGTTCTGGCAGTATAAATATTTTATTGTGCTGAAATTAAAGCAGGCTATTTATTTGCTTTTCTCTGAAGACCCTTTTCCCTAGAGGTCTTGATAACACATAAGAGACCAAGGAGATGAGTCTAGTGGTCCAAGGCTCACGTAGCCTAGAATGTAACTCGGATTGAATTCTTCCTGATACTAGGATTGTCAGTTCCTGCTGTGTCTCTAGGCATCATACTGAACGTCTTCAAAATCATTAGGAGTCTAGATTGTACCATAGTAGGCAAACTCTTACCCTTTTAAAATAATTTTACCAAGGTTTATGATTGGTCTCTGTGGGTGGAGCAAAGCAAGATGGCATCTAATATTCCTAGGTTACTTCTGCTGCTCATTTATCCTGCAGAATGATCTTGGAAACTACTTGGTGATGGGAGGTAAATATTCATGTTTTCCTCATTATCAACTTTTATTATTTTCAATTATTTGATTAAAAAAAAACCCCACAACTGATGTGGAATTGACAAAAATCCAATACAGAGTTTAAATGTAGTGAATCATTAAGAAGACTTAGGTGAAGTGTGTGTTCCAAGCACCCATCTTTGGGGCTGGTCATGTAAAGAGTTTGCCAAGCACTTAACCAAGTCCATACATAAGAGCAATGTTTGGGATTTGTTTGGTATTTAACTATTTTCCAACTGCTTTTACATCCCTGAGGCTACTGGCACCGATGAGGGCCCCAAGCGAGGGAGCAGCTGCCATCCACCTGGGTAAAGATGAAATGCTAATTGGCACGTTTGGAAAATGTAATACTTGAGGGACGCAGATACAGACAGGAAGGACTTTGGGAGAACCACCATATCTTCTCTGCACGTTCTTCAACTTAAAAATGTGTTCCAGTTACTCTTGCTGCATAATTTAGTGGCATAAATAACAACCAAAAGTTTACGGATTCTGTGGGTCACGAATTTGAACGGAGCACAGCCAGGACAGCTTGGCTCTGCTCTATAAGGATGGGACCTCAGCTGGGAAGGCTGGATCAGCTGAGGCTGGAGGATCTACTTCTTTGCTCACATGTCTGACACCCCTTGGCACAGACAGCTGGAAGGCTGGGCTCAGCTAGGGCTGTTGACTGGAGTGCCTCCACGTGGCCTCTCCAGCATGGCACCTTCAGGGCAGTTGAACTTCTTACAAGTTGGTTCGGTATTCCAGCAAACAAAGCATAAATGACATGGCCTTTTATGAAATCACATGGTATCCCTGTGGCCATTGGTTGAGGCAGTCACAAGCCCACCCACCTTCCAGGCAAGGGGATATAGACCTCACCTCTTAATGGGAAGGATATCAAACAATTGGAGTCCTTGGGTGGTGCATGTGGTTGACACACTCAGCTGCTAACCAAAAGGTTGGAAGTTCGAGTCCACCCAGAGGCACACTGGAAGAACGGCCTGATGATCTACGTCAGAAAAGCCAGCCATTGAAAACCCTGTGGAGCACAATTCTACCCTGAAGCACACGGGGTCACCATGAGTCGGAGTCGACTCCATGGCAACTGGTTGGTTACCAAACAATTGGAAACCGTATTTTAAAACTACTACAAAATGGAATCCAGGTCCCTGTGAAATTCCTTTTTATTTGTAGCGCATGATATCCAGTGACCCATTATTTGTATATTTTGATGATTGACTTGTTTATTTGTACACATTCCGCACCCCCACCCAGTGATTTTCTGTGCGACTATTTTGATGCCTGGGGAAGTCAAGCTTAAATATCGAAAAATATTAGTGGTTTTCTTGTAAATTAAGGATGTATAGGCAGGCAAACTTAATGACGTAGGCCAGAAAGGACTTACGCTCTGTTTCTAAGCAGCTTCTGTTTGCCAGATAACACCAGCACCCAGCTCAGGAAAAAAAAAAAAAATCTATTGACTTTGTTGTACCTGATAAATATTTAAATGCTGGTGTGTCGAGTAAAGGAACAGAGAAAACATTTTCTTATCACTATCATCCTTTCCCCTCTAGGTACCACTGAGAGAAAACATGAAATTAAAAAGATACCTCCTGAAAGACCAGAAACGCTTCCAAACAGAACAGAAGAGAAAGGTATGAGATCAGTTCTTCATTGACCCTTCCAGAGCAGCAGTAGGTGAAGCTATCTCTGTAAATCACAGGGCGCATCCTGATTACCCACAGAATTTGCTTTTTCTTTGGAATGTGGTGATTATGGCTTGGTTTTGATTACTTTTAAACCTCCCATTTCTAAGGAGATAGGAGAGGGTTATGTGGTACTTCTTTGGGCCAAGATTTCTCATCAAATGAAAAACAACCAACTCAGCAACTTGGCATATTGGGGCTCTTCAGTGATGCCTCTGCCATCACCACCCTGCCCACACCAACAGCATCATGAAGTTGTGATGATGACCGGAAGTTCCTTGAGGGCCCAGATGTGTCTTCCCCATTTTATAGCCAGCCCAGCCCTCCCCCTAATGCGTAGTACCCCAGGGTGCTCATTAACTGTTGAAGAATGGACCGGGCTTAGTTAAACTCCCATTCAGACAAATGATAGCTCTATTCCTTGGTCCCTGCTGGACCCTTGGCCCTGGCTAACTATGTCATAGACACATATCCTTAGTCAAAAATGTTGGGGCAGGGGACACTTGGCACAACTGGGAAAAGCAGTTCAGTGTCTGGAGCCTCCAGGGGAAAGAAAAAGAAGTTGCTATCAAGTCAATTCTGACTTACGGCGACCCTATGTGTCAGAGTAGAACTGCCCCACAGAGTTTTCAAGGCTACTTCTTTCAGAAGTAGGTCACCAGGCCTTTCTTCCAAGGCACCTCTGGGAGGTGGATTCAAACTGCCAGCCTTTCCATTAGTGGCCATTTGAGCCACCCAGGGACTCCTGAAGGTGGCCAGACATATCATTTGCAGGGAAGTAACTTAACTTGCCTCACTGGGCACACAGTCAGTTTTGCCAGCGTGTCTGACTTCTACTGTTCTGAGTGTCTCTCCCAAAGAAACCTGCAGGCTATGGAAGGCTTTTTTCTTAGGGGTCTAAGATTTGATTGATCACACATTTTACGGGAAATATGCTATGTTATTGTTATGAACAGGGGGCATAGCAAATTCCATTTTAAAAAGCGTAATTAATTATTTGGAGGTGTTCCCTGGTGGCCTCATGAAATTTTATTGTGAAATTTAGTATTTATCTCAACCTGCCAAAAGTTTAACTAACATTGCAATCTCTTAAGAAGTTACACCTCTTTCTTTCACAGCGAACAGTTAAAACTTGAGTTGTGGAAACTTCATTGTGACGCCCAGGTCTGTGTAACAAACACAGTGAAAAGATAGCCAGTGAATGTATACTGTATGAATAGCTCTTCAATGCAAGTGTGTGCTATGAAATACCCAAATGCTGTCCCCTGTCCTCACGGAAGACATGTGGCTAGTTTCTATGTCATAGCCAGGCTCTGTGGTGAGGACATTCTCACCTCTGGTCCATAGTGACTAACGTGGACTCAGCTTATGTGGGAACAACTGCCCTAGTTGGCTGGCCAAGTAGCCACATACCGCTGGTCCCGTGATTCCTTGCCCTATGCCACAGTGGAAGGCAGAAGCCCTGGCCAGAGCAACAGGGAACCAGCCCTACCCTGAGACTTCTGCTCACCATTCAGCCGGCCCAAGCCCCCTCTCCCATTCATTCTGCAGGCCACTGGTGCGCTGATCCCTGTCCTGCTGCTCAGCAGGAGAAATCTCCCTTGCTTTGCATTCCAGACAAGCCCTTCCTCATCTGGCCCTCGTGTACCAGTACGTGAGTTCCCAGCATTCCTGGCTGGAGAATATTTACCCACAGAAATGCTGTGGGAATGAGCACAGTGATATCTGTAACATACCTGATGGGCTGTTTAAAGCTTTTGCCACTTGGCTTGGGGGCCCAAACAACATTTTTAAGTTTGGGTTTGCATGTAAAACATGTTCTCAGTAGCACCTTACAAGCAAACATAAGTTCCTACCTGTACTCTAGTTGGCATCTCTCTGAAGTTCTGTCTTTAGAAAGAAGAATGTGGATGCATGCTTTTTAGACCATGCGCAGGGCAAGGCTAGTTAAGGACAGAAAACATGAAGCTGTCACTGAACACTGCACAGTTTTGCCACCACGTCTGGTGTCACCTTCATTCTAACAGCTCTGACTCCCAAAAGCCTTGGGAAGAAAACACCTGTGCAGCCCAGTTTACCTTCCAAGTTCAAACTGCACAAAAAGAATCCAGAACTAACCGTTGTTCCCTGAAACTCTCCCCCATGGATTGGCTCAGTGGCCCTTTCCCCATGCTGACCTGAGAGGTTCCAGGCCTCTTTCCTCCCCACAGCCAGCAGGTCCTGGGGCCCCTTTGCCAAACCCATCAGACATTTACCGAGCCCCCGCTGTGTGCTGGGCACCATGCAGGGTTTCAGAGAGATGGCCAGACGTGGGCCCTGCCATTGGGGGCTGACAGCCAAGCAGGCTGTGCCAAGCATGCGAACACCCGGGAGGTAGTGTGGTCCAGGCAGAGCCTGTTCTTCAAGGGCTGCCCTTAGATGCTTGGGTCAAGAAGTAAATAAGTCTGCCTTTGGAGGCAGGCCCAGCTGTTGTGAAAAGCTGTTGTCGCATTTCAAATGAGTAGGAGTTTGCTGAGCATGGGCAGTGGCTGGAAGGACATTCCAAGCAGAGGGATCAGTATGAGCAAAAGCATAGAAGGGGGCAGTGAATTGCTGCTCCACAGGGCTTTTTCTGACATGACAAAGGATAAATGATGCTCCTCTTCTTCCCCCTTATTTTCACAAATGTCACCCGTGATTTTTTTTAAAGCAGGAAACAAGCAATTTGCATCTGAGTCCTGTTGCTTGTACTGGATCTGTCTGTTTTCTTTATGATTTTTTAAACAATGATTTTTAAACAATGACCAGAGAGAGAGCCAAAACTGGATTTACAGAAGCCCTCCGTTCCTGCCATACCGCCAAAAAAGCCTCGGCCACCTAAGACCAATTCTGTCAGCAGACCTATCGCGATGCCTCCAAGAAGGCCAGAACGACCAGTGGGTCCTCTGACCCACACCAGGTACTGCTCCATGCTCACTCCTGGGGGTGTGTGGGGCGGCCACGGAACACAGGAGGGGCCTTGTGTGCAGGCCTTGGGAAGGGAAGAAGGAGGGAGGCGGGGGATAAAGCTTTCCTCTACGCCCTCTAGCCAAGTTGTCCCAGACTCCGGCCACTCCTGTTGTTGTCCCTGCGTTTGGGCAGAAGTGAGCTCAAGGTTAGGCAGTGCCATGTGGGTTATAGGGTTACCAGATGAGAATCTGCCCCCAGTGTCTAGGCCCTGCCCCCACACAGGGACTTACGCTTCATGAGAGCCAAGCCAGCTGTCCTGACCGGAAATGCAGCGGCATGTTCCCCCTCGCTCACCTGGGTGCCCTGCTGACCTCTGGTGCGCACTTCACACTCGCTCAGTGATGTCAGGGGACCCGCTCCCTGCCCTGTGGTGCCTCCTTTCATACCCCTGCCCATCCGCTCTGCCCGTTCTGCTCATCACCACATGGCCCTATTGTGGAAACCAGCACCTGACACTGGGTCTCGAAACTGTGAAACCCTCCACGGCAAGGGACGTGCTTTATTCGGGCACATAGTCTGAGATTTGCCCGGCAAAATTAATACTGTTAAATGGCCGGCTGGATGCTTGTTTTAGTAATGGTGAAATTAGAGTTGGATATTGTACATTCCAGAACTAAGATGCCCACCACATAGCAAGGAACTTGTTGAATTCTCACCACAAGTTCATTGCGAGAACTTTCTACCGTTACATATAGGTTACATGTGTTGGTGTAACACACCAGAGCAAGTCACTAACCTGGAGGTATTTACATGTACCTATCAATGCGCAGTTCTGCCCTCCGTTTTTTTTTTTTCTCTTCTGAGCTAAGTTTGCACGATGCGAGTTGCGTGGGGCTTCAGTGCACTCGCATTAGAGTCAGACAGTCTTCTGGGCTTGCATCTAGCCCCATCTCATCATAAGAGAGGGAGCCTTGGCCAGTCACCACCCCTCTTCCCCTCCCTGTCTCCATCTGTAAACTGGGGATGGTAATGGAATGCACCTAAAGAGGAAGGAAGGAAATCATTCCCAAGTACTTAGCACCATGCCTGTAAACCAATGTTATTTTCATTGTCATTTTTATTCTGTCCTGTAAAACTGAGTATACTGCAGTAAGACAAGAATAGCTCATTTGCTTTTGGCAACAACAACAACAAAAAAAAACACCTGTGCCCACATATCAAGGCAGGTAGTGATGTGAGTGGTTGAGAGGTGTCAGAATTTCACCCAGCTGTGGTGCACACGTGCATGTGTAAGGCTGGCTACCCAGCAAGCACACAGCTGCACTTCTCTCAGGCACGGGAGCCCATATGAGGAGCAGCTGGTTCACCTGTGTTATTCTGCAAGGCCCACCAAGGTCCAGTCAAACCACTGCCTGTGTAGACGGCCCCCATGGGGAAATTAATGGGACCAGGGCCACTGCTGAGTTTGTCAGGCCCCTACGTGGCATGCTCTCTGCCACTGACTGATAGCAGGGGCTGTTTGCACATGCATGTGACATGCAGCTTGACAGCCCTGCTGACCTTAGCAAGGGCCACTTCAGTGGTAGTGGTCAGCCCAGAAGCGAACACTTTAGAAGGAAAAGGTTATGTAAGCCTCAGTGCTTCTGGAAATAATATGAGCTGCACAAACAATGAGAAGATTTGGAGCAGCAAAGGTTACACATCACTTTATGGCTGGTGAAAGGAAATCAGAAGTCATGCTCGGCCAAATGCTATTAGGCTTCCTGCAGCTAGAAACATTTCCACGGTCTCAATAACAATTTCCACAATACTCCTGCAGCTCTCTCTAATGACCTGATGGAATTCCGCCTGCTTCCTTGGCTCCTAGGGTTGTTCTCAAACCTCGGTATCTGCTCAGTGCAGGCTTTGCGAGCCATTGATTAGATCTGTGAGCATGGGGGAGGCATATCCCAACTGCTGGGCTCTCAGAGGCTACTTCCTCCTGCCTCTGCTTAGCTCCTCCCTGCCTGCAGCCTTCACAATGTCCAGTTGTAAGTTAGAAGGTCACTAAGGCAGATGCATGAGGGCGTTTGTACGGAAGCCAGTGGGAAATGGAACTGTTCCCAGCATTGTGTGTGTCATATGAGCAGCCTGGGAAACGGGGATGCCCCCATCCAGCCCCCCAAGGCACTGGTTTGCAGGGGAAAGTAGGGGAAGCCCTGGGATTGCTTCCTGACAGTCCTCAGAAGTGGAGGACCTCAGTGAATTGGGGGGGAGAGGGCAGAACCCGCATTGGCCAATTGCTCAGCCAGTTAAGTGTGGGAAGGTCTTGCTCCAACTCAGCTGTTCCCAAGCTTGAGCCTGCTTCAGGATCACCTGGAGAACTTGTTAGAAACATTTCTGGGCCCCACCCCTGGAGTTTCTGGCTCAGTAAGCCTGGGAATTTCTAGCTCTAACAGGCTCTCAGGTGATGCTGATGGCTGCTGGTCTGTGGCCACACAGTGAGAACCACTGCTCTAGATTCTGCCAAGTTTGTGACGGGCCCCTCTCCTCCCGGCTACCTCTCCTGCACCTGGGACTCCTCCCCGGCTTGAAAATCCAGCTAGTGGACCCTCCACTGGGAGCCCGCCCTCCCTCCCACCCCCAGTGCCAGGTGATTGTGTGCCCCTCAAATTCCCAGCCCTGTGTCTAGCCTGGTTCTGTGCCCCATGCCGTGTCGCTAGGATGCTCTTACCCCCAGACTCCTTTACCAGATTGAAAGCAGATCAGGAGTGTGTTTTGTCATCGCCACGCCTCGTGGCATGGAGTGTATGGTAGTGGCCCACTTGACAGACACTTGTTGAGTGCCATGGTTCATAAAACTGGGGGCAGGGAGTGCCAGGGCTTACAGTTTGGTCACTGTTGCCTCTCCTCCTGTCCTTCCCAGCCTCTGGACCAGCTCTTCAGCATGTGTGTCTTACCTTCTAGGCAACCTGCATTTCAACATAAAAGAATATTTAAAAAAAAAAAAAACAAAGAAAGGCTGATTGTTTCTTAATACTTAGTGCACTTAATATTTTTGGCGAAGCAGTTACGTTGACCAACCCGTACATTGGTTTATGAGCTTGTTTTGCTCTGCCTAATTAGTGGAGGGAGAAATATTCACTTAATTAAAATAATTGTGTATCAGTGGTTCTCCAGAGAAAGGGTATTGTGTGCTGTGTGAACCCAAGTCATCACCAGGATTGTCCTGACGGATGGATGGACAGACGGTTGAACAGATAATTGCACAAATGGACACCCAGTCGTTGTTTGCCGTTCTTTTTGGAACTAGGCATTGCAGCGCCAGCTGCGTTGTCTGGGCTCAAGCTTACTCTCACCAGCCAGAAAGCTCGCTGCCAACTGTGGCTTCCAGAAGAGATCGATTTCTTTCTATTTAAACAGGAACTAGCATCTTTTAGAAAAAAAGGAATGCATAATTTTAGGAAGAGCGTCGAGTCATTTTTAGATACGTTCACTTAACAAAAACGTATCGAGGGACCGCTGTGTGCAAGGCGCTGTTTTGGATATTAGTAATGGGAGTGGGGGGCTCCATGGTTCCAGTTTGGTGTTCAGGAATTCTAAACAGGAGAAAAAGGAGCTCTGGTGCCACAGTGATTAAGTGCTGGGCTGCTAACCAGAAGGTAGGTGGTGGGAACCCACCAGCCGCTACTCAGGAGAAAGATGTGGCAGTCTGCTTCCGTAAAGATTACAGCCTTGGAACCCTACGGGGCAGTTCTACTCTGTCCTGTATGGTCGCTATGAGCCGGAATCGACTTGATGGCAGTGGGTTCCTACGGGAAAACGTAAGCAGTTTTGTGCTCAGTCTGAGCGAGCGGAAGCATGCATTAAGGCCTGCACATCGATGGCCCTCTTCTCAGATGTTAACCTAGTTAACCATTTTAAAAATGTTCTTCCAATTTCTGGAAAGTAAGTTAAGATGGAATTTTAACAGAAAAAAAAAAAAACTTTCAAAAAATGTGAATACCAGGGTTGATTTAAAACTTGAATGACAATAGGAGATTCTCCTAGGCCGTAAGTACCTACTTTGTTTTAAAGTGTGCACCTTGGGGATGCCTCGGTTATGATTTCATAGTGCGCAAAGCCAGGGCTTGCTGCTCTTGTCCAGCCCAGCACATAACTCCAATGGCTGCGGTGCCAAGAGTATCCCATCTGCCCCTCTTTTTGCACTTGAGAAAAGGGAGGTTCAGAGTATAAAGCTTGCTTATTTGGCTATTTGAACATAAATATATTGAAATAACTGCATGCATCTAAGCTTTTTCGTATGTATATACACTGTTATATGCTTAATAATGTATGTTATCAGTTTAATAAAAATGGGTTCAGAAACCTCTGAGAAGAGGTCCTGAGACTTGGGAGAAGGGTCCAAAATAAAAAGAAGGATCCAAGGAAATGCTGGTGAGAGGCATTTTCCCTGAGCTCTGATTACTGCCTGCAGCGGGCGGGCGGCCGGGCGGCGGCGGCGGCTGGCAGAAACCTGAGAGGTGAGAGCCACCGGTGTGTGCTCTCAAAAGAAAGTAAACCTGATAGGTAAAGAGGTAGAAGCAGGCTGGGTTGGCCAGAACAGGTTTGTTAATCCTCCCAAACGCAGGCACCCCACATCATAAGGTTTTTCGTTTTTCTTCCCAAAGCGCTGGGAAGCTGAGGCAGAGCCTTCCCTCCGAGTAGGGAGGGAGCCTGGCCCGCTGTCTGCCGCAGCACAGAGCACAGCAGGCCCAGGCACTCCAGGTGGAGAGGGCAGGTGACTGCCAGCGGGGACATGAGGGACTGGGGTCCAGGGCCTCAGCCGTAGACAGGGCATCTGGGACAGAGGGGAAGGATGTGAAGCTAGAAGGCAGAAGGAGAGGTGACTAAGGATGTCATGGGAGCAGGAGTGAGAAAGGTTGATGGCTGGAAGGACGGCAATGGTGGTCAGAAAGGGGAGATTGGTGCTTATCATCTCAGAGGTGGAGTCGCCCACAGGGGCGGCCTCATGAGTGTGGGTGACTGAGG